GTCTCAGTGTCTTCCCCTTGCAAGTATCTTGTTAAACAAAGCCAAATTTCAGAACCTTGCTCCTGCTTCTGAAACTATGCAGTATACAGAGGCCATAAATCATACACAAATGATAAGCGCCCTAAAAATACCTGAGCAATGAATTTTAAGACAGTTTAAATATGACCTGTCAATTTTATTTCAGTACAATATTTTCTTCCATTTAATTATTATTTGAAGGTGAACTCAGCACCTCCTTAAGGAAGTGCCTATGTAGGCATTTATGGTACCTTTTTCTCAGACTATGAGAAACATATAAAAGTGGCTTCACAAAGTTAGAACAGTGAATAAAAGGTATATCATGTAAAGCTTGGCTATCATCAGCCCACTTTCCCTGCTGATCTAGCAGGAGGGCTCTTTGGCAGCAAACCCTGCAGTACATCTGAGAACAGATGGATCCATCCTACCTGAAATCCAGCAGAACCAAGGAGCCACATCACCAGGCACAGTGACCTGCTCATGGGTCATCTCAGACTACAGGGATGTTCCAGAGATACTGAGAATATATTTTTCACATGTTTGAAAGCCATCTGAAACACTCCCTGACAGGTTGAATAGGTGGCACATCACTTGTCATAAAGACCAGGATGCTCAGCTTTGCTTTTCCCTTCGAGGTTTGACAGATGGCTCTGTTATCTTAATTTTATACAGGGAGCCAGGGATTTATTTTTCCCTTTTATGTAAATATCTTACTCCCCTCACAGACACTGACACACCAGTGAGCTGCAGAAATAGGATTACACACTGCATGTCCCACTCTCCCCCATCTCACTTGCTTATTTACCAAACAACTCTCGTTAATCCTCTTTACTGTGTTTACTTCCCTCTTCCCTCCAGTCTTAGTGTCTTACTATTATTCAGGTACTTGAAAATGTTAAAAAAAGCTTAAGAGACAGTCACCTCCAGAGATGATTAAAATGAACTGAATTCCACTGATTGTTTTTGAATCTGCATTGATTTACACCAGATGAAGGTTTGTTAGAGCTGCTGGCATTCATGGTGCACATTCCCGAACCCCAAAATCACATAAAACTGAAATAATCTGGTTTTCTTCATTCTGTGTTAGTTTATGGATTGTCTTTAGACCTCCTGCCTTTACTTCTTGATTACAGTCTTTTGGGGAAAAAGTGAGAATGGCAGGTTTTCACAGACAAAGACATAGTAAAGAATTACTTGGAAGCATTCTAGATTTTGAAGCAGTTATTCATCTGCTCTTTCTATGTGTTACAGAAATCACTGGTTGTGAGATCACTTTTTTAATCCATGAAATGTATGGAAAAGTCCCACTGCTTACAGTGAGGCTGAGCCCCAGCCAGTGATTAGGCTGTCCTAGAAGTCTACAAATGTCACAGGTGGTGTTAACTGACTATTGATAATTTTTTTTCTGATGTGCTATGGAGAAGATTCTTAAAAGAATATCTAAATGTTTTTAAAAAGGGGAAATACCCCTCTAACACCAAGACCATAGAAAATAGCTATTTCTCCACTGCCAAAGTGAGGGTGCTTTCATCATGTAACCATGCTGCAGCCCAACATAATATCATGTGTGGTCTCCTCTGGTGCTAGTTCTATGCAGCAGCACACATCTGTACCTGGTGTGCCAGTCATGTTGTGTCCAATGCTGCAGTCACCAGCCACACAGAGAGGAAATTTAGAAGTTGCTTGAAGCACCTTTGAACTATCAATTCATATGTATCTTCCCAAAGTTCAACCCATCTGAGTATTAAAGTTGATGGATGCAACTTGGTGAAAGTTCCCTCATGGACCAGAGAGGTCAAATCCATTCACTGGGATGGATTTCAGCATTTCTTAGGACCATTTCATATGGAAGAACCTGAGTATTTCCAGGGTGGATGCAGAAATGGAGGTAGAAGTGTATTTGCTTGGTTCTGGTACTTATTATATACAGAGAAGCACCAATCCACTAGGCTGCATTTTATTACAAATCACTTTAGTGCCTAAAGTTGGTGATACACTGAAGTTTTAGCTTTTATGAGGGAAAACAGACTACCCCAGCAGACACAGTTTATATATAGATTGAATAAAAACACAGTTGAGTTATGATACCTCGAGGTCACTACCTCTCTTCCTGCTACAGAAAAGCAGACATAAGAGAGTTTGACTGGGTCTGGCCCTTTGAAACCAGTAAATGAGATTTCAACTTAAGCACAATAGGATTTTTCTTTTTTCTTTTTACTCCAAATTTGATTCTTACGAAAGTGAGGGATTAATACTACAAAGCCAGACTCAATGCAAATAAATCCCTGCCTGCACTTTGCTACTAAAGCCTTTAACCCTTGTCACACCCTACAACCAGAGGACTGCTGTAACTTCACTCCTCAGCACCTCTTCAGTGGAGGGAGGAGACAGATTGGTCACAGGTGCTGCAGTGACAGAGGTCCCAGTTGCAGGAGGAGAAGGGCAGAGGAGAGCTGGGGATGAGGGGCTGAGGAAGGACAGGGCAGAGCATGGTTATGGAGCCCAAAGCTGGGAACACACTGGAGGAACTCTTGGCTTTTGCCTTACCCAGATTAATCCCCTAACTCTTTCTCTAGTCACTTCTACCTTCCAGCAAAAAACAGAGGGAGGATTTCTCACATTAGCTAAAGCCAATTCAGCTCAATGATATGTAATAATACTGTGTTGAAGCCAGAGATGCTTTTCTTGTGAAGCGTCTGATCTCATATCCCAGCATTTATTGACAGATATCTGTTACAGTGGATCAAGAAATCTGAACTACTGGGGAATGCTGCCAGGCCCTTCAGGGCATTCTTTTAGCAGAACTGTCTTAGCAAGGACTCATTGATGAAAAGAAATGCTCTAGTTACCCTGTAAAATTATAATTAATACGATTTTCTTTCATAGCTGTCCATTCCACATCTGAGCAGTTTTCAGCTTAGCATTTGTCAGCAGTGTGAATGTCAAAAATAAGAAGATCTAAGAGGAATTTTCACTCTTCTCTGAGCCTAATGCCTGTTCAAGCAGCTGACTTGTAGGTTGATATTCATACTGTTGACAAATAATGGGTGTCTTCATCAAGTATTGGTATTATTTTGCACTGAAACAAAGCGTGAGACTGTATGTGAATTCCCCAAACCTTTGCAAGGCAGCTCTAAATTTGTCTCTTTTAATTTAATTTCTGTTCCTCCCATCTATTGCTCCTATCTACCAGCATCACAGCAGATTTGAAAAGCAATTCCTCGTGAGGCACAAGTTGCCCTGGAGAGTTTCTGCTCTCATACAGATACTTTGCAGCCTTGACACAAATCATTCACAATTTGGCAGTGGGTGCAAATTGACAAATACAAATGAGTAGCAATGGTAAACCAGAAACTACAAGTGTGAGACTTTGCACTGTGTTACCAATTCAATTGGATGCCAATCTGAGTCCTCCGAAGATAATTTTTCGAAGTGCAGTTGCTAGAGTGAAAGCTTTCCAGCTTCCCCAAAATAATAAACATTCATTTTAGCAAGACTAGAATAGCAAAAATACTTATGCAAATTTAATAAGATCTAAAATAGAGACTTTCTCTTCTTGCTGGAATTCTCCCTTTTTGATGCTCTTTCAAATCCTGTATAAATTTTTCAACAACCACAAAACACATCCAATGCTCCACCATTGTGATAACCCCACCGAGGCTCAACAAAATCTTGCAATCATGTTGCATGCACATAATATTTTTCATGAAAAGTAATTTTACTTATTTTCCTTTTTCCCTCACTCCAAAATATTATCACTTGGAAATCATGAAGTTGGAAAAAAAACTGTCATTTAATCCAAGCTGAGATTCAGATGTCACTGCAGGGTCTCATGAGAGCTATGGATGGGAATCCTGCATTCTCTACTGCAGGCTGGGTCACCTGGATGTACCAATAGCTCCCAGCCAAGACCCTCACAGTATAAAACAGTGACACCACAAACACTCACTCAGCTGTGGGGTGTTGGCAGAGCCATACTAAATACAATAGAGGAGAAATGAACCTTCATCCATCTGGCCTACAATTCCCACAAATTACTTTCTCTTCTAAATCAACCCTTTGGGCTTGCATTTGGAATCTTAAAATGGAAATGTTAACGTTTTGACCTTTTCCACCAGAAATATAAATTTCTATTTTATTTTATTTATTTAAGAGGAAATAGAAATTTTTATGTTATTTATTTATTTTAATTTTTATTTATTTTATTTAATTAAGAAAAAATTATTTTCACTCATATTTTTCTGTGTAACTGAAGTCAATACTTCCTAACTACTTGAGGCCTAGGCAAGTGCAGCTATTGCAAAGACAGTGGGCTGAAATGGCCACTACACACTGTTGTTGTTGATGTAGGCATCACAGAGGCTTTTACATTAGACAGAGAGGTTTTGAATTTAATCTGTAGGTTATAATTTTGAAGCAAGAATAAATTAGAAGTACAGTCTCCAAATGAAAAACTACACATATTACCGTGGACTTTGAGTTATAAGAGTTTGCAATAATTTGAAATGCTAAAATTAGTAATGGACCCGGGAAAAGAATCTCACATCCCACATGTAAATTTTGAACATTACCACAAGTACTGTTCAAATACAAGTAGTACAGTGTTTCCTACCTCTACTCTTGCCCAAGCCAAAGCTCTCCACATTCACCAGCATTCTGCAGCAATTTGTCTGTAGGCAAGTTCTTATTAATCTGAACAATGTAGCTCTGTCCTGTTTCTAGTTTTTCTCTTCCTTATGCCCATGGGTGCATTGAACTACACCCTTTACACACGCAGGATATGGTACATGAAATGACTTTCCAATGAAAACACACACTGGCTACAGGATGCATTTGGCCTTTTGGATGCCTTTAAACTAAACAAGATATCATGAGTCAAGCCTTGGGCCTTTAAACTAAACAAGATATCATGAGACAAGCCTTGGGTCAGCCTCTGTGGGGCTGCATTGCCCTAAGCACAGTAAAAGCTTCTGGAGCCTTACCTTTTTATGGCTTTGTAGCAAATGATGACAACTACAAAGAGGAACACTAGTGTGGCGCAGCATACTGCAATGATAATAACCAGGCCTGGCCACCAGGTCTCTTCAGTGGGACAAAAGGTAGACTTGGGAGCTGTAAAAAGAGAGAGGAAAAATACATTAATTCTCCCAAATCAACAGGGTATTATCAAATATGCTTCAGTCACTCAAGCAGTAGCACTACACCAGGACCACAGATACATGCAAAGATGTTATTTCACATTTAGGACCCATTTCTTTCTTTTCCCCAAGCAATCAATTTCTCTTATTGGTACTAAATATTTCTTGTCTCAGTCCCCAGATGACCAAGTTCTCTGTGTCAGTGTTATCTAAACCTGGTACTCAGCACAAAGGAGAAGGGCTCAGCTCTGCTACCTGAGGGAAAAATCTTCTTCCTCTGCACTCGCCATCTCCAGCTGCATCAGATTTAATTTTGGAGAGGGATATTATGCTGATAACAGCATGTCTTCAAACCCCATTAGGGGAGGTTAGTTGGGAGCCAAAGCAGTGCCTACCAATCTGTATTGTAGCTAATATTACTGTAACCTTGGAGTGAGGAAGGGGGATTTGTTTTAAAAGAATATGAGTTCTATTACATTTACTAATTGCTTTCAGAGTATTATAGTTGACAATCTTATTTTGCTTTACACTACCTTTGAATTCTAAGCCAAGTTGTCAAGATATGTTAACATTAAGAAAAGTTAACTTGTGGAAATATAAGCTATTATTATTATTATTATTATTATTATTATTATTATTATTATTATATTTTTCTTATTACATTTAGGGCTAGCATTATCTATTTAAGTATCGCTCAACACAAGAAATATTTTGTATCTGGTGACATTTAGTTAAAATATTTTCCTTCAGGGCTATGTTCCTTTTCCCATGCTTTCAGGGGACACATTTCCTGAAGGATGGTGAGTAATAGCCAGTGCCTAGAGCAGTATCAGTGTATTGCAGAGGGAGAAGAGAGCCTTAGTACAGCCTCTGCAACCACATAAATTCCATGAGAATTTTGGTCACCTTAAGTGACATTTAATAATGAATCAGTTGATGGGACTGTCTTTATCTATATTCTCAACTAAGTAGGTGAGAGAATGAAATATAGCAAAAGGCTCTTTTATGAGTCTCATTGTTTAACTTGATATTCTGAATGTCCAGTACATATCACAAATTGCTGCACAAGTTAAAATATGTCATCAGTCCAGTATCATTTATTGTGGTCTGACATCTCCTCTGTCTCCTGTGCTTGATTAGGAAAAGATACACATATCCTTAGATTATCACTCAATAGATCAAATAATGAATGACACAATTCCTGAGAAAACTTCTTTTTTCCAATTGCAAAATGTATAGAGGAGTTGGCAACATTGACCCCAAGGAACCTACAGCAGCACCTTAGGAACAGACTAGGTAAAGAACTATAAGAAGCAATTAAGGTAATGAACCCAACAGCTGGACAACTAATGGTTCCCAGCTTCCTCTCTGACAATGTTCACTTCTAGAGTGCCCCAGCAACTGAATTTCTACTTTATTACTGTCAGCTGAGGAAGTCTGCTTTCAGTGGGTGATGGAACTATTTACTGTGTTTTGATAAAGCTAATGATTTTAATATTCTCTGGGAGTTTTCAATGTTACATTCCAGAACAGAATGCATTTCAAAGATGACAAAATGTTTGCATGAAGGAGCAGGCAGTGTCAAGGTCAACTCTACCCTTCTGGTGCTGTCCTGAAAAAACACAAAAGGGAGCAGTGAAGTGAAAGGAAAAACATTGATCAGCAGGTGCCATGTAAAATTTGATGAGAGCACAGAAGATGGGAGAAGTGGGGCTATCCTTCTCCAGCCCTTGTTCTTCTTCAAAGACAGGATCAACCAAACTAGTCAGAAAGCAGAACAGTGGTGAGCCTGGGCTGCTCTCAGCACAATAAATGACACTGACAAATGGCAGAGGCAGGATATAAAGCCAGGCTTGTCACATGTCTGTACACCATGTAGTCCTTGATGGTTTGTCACAGTATTTTTCCACAGAGAATAAACAGATATATGTGGAATTGAATAGTAAACATTACTCCTAGGTGCAATCATTAATGACAGAAAAATAAGAATTGCTAATGTGGAAGTGATGCCTAATCCACCTGGCTCAGTTCCTTCCCCCACTGGTTCAGACTGGGCACTCAAAAAGAAGCACAAGAAATCCTGCTGGAAGCTACCAAGCTGTTTCCTAGTGACTCGTGGTTTCATTCAAATTAAAAAATAACTTTATCTTTCTACTTCTTATTAATGCAGTGCTAATCTTGTTTTCCTTCGAAATGTCCACTCCTTTTTCAATAAGCTCACAGTTACATGTGCTTTTCGGTCTTTCTCAGTATGTGTTCACATAGCCCTCATACCCTGGCATTTCAATGTCCTTAATGCATTTCTCCTCACAATTATCATGTGAGGAAGAACTGCATTTAATCCCCTTATGATGGTGGGAAGGCTGAGCCTGGATGACTCCTCTGTGTGCAGCAAGAAACGTCAGCTGAGAGGGAAGCTCCCACAAGAACCAGCAAGATGCCTGGGAAGAACCACATCTTCAGAGAGACACTCCTAGTGAGTCCCACACTGAACTCTGGATGCTGGGGAGGCACTGATGTCCCAGCTCCCTGGGGCTGGGGCTCACAGCTTTCCCTGGGCCTGGGGTGGCTCTCCATCCCCTGCTTGACCCCCAGATCTCAGCTTATCACCTGCACCTGGGGAGAAGGGCTGAGTCCACAGGTGTCAATGGGCTCTCAGTGATGAGAAATTACCCTGTGTGAGGGCACCTGCAGCACCCCGTGCACCTTGCATGGAGTAGCAGTGCATTTCACAGGCACTCCCTGAAAGAGCACACATGTGGGTCCCAAACACTCCTCAGGGAGATACTGGCATCACTACAAAACACACTGAGCAGAGGATGAGCACACACGTGGGTCCCAAACACTCCTCAGGGGGATACTGGCATCACTACAAAACACACTGAGCAGAGGATGAGCACACCTGTGGGTCCCAAACACTCCTCAGGGGGATACTGGCATCACCACAAAACACACTGAGCAGAGGATGAGCACACCTGTGGGTCCCAAACACTCCTCAGGGAGATACTGGCATCACTACAAAACACACTGAGCAGAGGATGTCCCACACTACCTCTAACAATATCAGTGTCCACTTGTTTCATCGTCCTCACCTTTGATGAAGTGCAGGAGATTCTGGAGATTGCACCAATTCTCCTGCTTGCCTCCTTGTTTGTACCACCCCTTTCAAACACATTATAAAACCCCAAAAATGGCATATTTCAGAGCCAAATTGTGCCCTTTCCCTTGAGTAAAGAAAGAAGCCACAGACTGCTGTCCCTCACAGAGGTGTACCTGGGGAGTGGAGGACACCCCTGGGTGCCAGAAGTCCCTTTGTCATCCCTCTGGGCTACTGAGAGCTGGCCAGCCTGGCCACAGAGGGTGCTCTGTGATGCTGGGGTTATGACACTATAAAGCTACACACAGTACAGTGTGGCACACATAAATTGAGTTAAAAGCCAGAGAACCGGTATGTCGCAAAACCTAACTATAAATGGAAAGTCACTGCAGGAAGAATGTGGTTTTTAACAGTGACCTCCCTCTTCAGCCCCCAAAATAGGGTGATGAAACTGATACAGTTTGCAAATGACTTGGGAATGCATTCAACTACAAACGGAGACAAACATATTTAGATTAGAAATAGGGTAATTATAATCATTAAGGATAATTAGTCATTACCATAGTCTATAATTTCTGGTTGAAAATTTAAACAAAAAACTTAGTTTAAGGTAGTCTTTTCATTTTTACTTTAAGAGGTCTAAATTCAGCTAAGGAGATTGGACTCAGTATAAGACTTGAATAAGTAAAGAAAATGCTTTGGCTCTGGAAAGTCCACATGAGTACAGTGCCTTTTATCTCTTGGCCTTAAAATTTATGAAGTACAAATGTTGGTTAGGTTTACTTTTAGAGGGCTATCACCTTCTCCTACTCCCACAGGCACCAGGCCTAAATAAATACAATGAGCAAATAAACCCATTTCAGCCCTGTGGTGGGTAGACTGATCCAACTTATTCAAAGCAAATTAACAAAAGAGTGCTTTCAGATCAAACTGTTCAGCATCACAAAAATCTTACACCTGCTTTTTTTGACTAAATTTGTTTTGAAGACTCAGCATAAAGACACAGCTCTGACTCTAATGTTAGAAGGTATCTGTACACAGCTGGCTCTAGCCAGAAATGTGCATACCAGAAAAGATTAGCTCAGCTATTGAGGGTTTCCCTCAATGTCTAGGCACAAAAATAAAGGTTCTATCACTGGAAAGAATGTTTCCATAAAATTCCCAAGAAGTTCTCTGATATTTTTTGGTCAGATCTCAGTGGTCATTCTCAAAATTGCTCTGAGCTTCCAACAAAAAACTGTGATGAAGCTGTTTTAATCTTCTGGGTCAAGCATTAAATAGTTTTGTGTGTGTTGTAAAAGTGATACATGTACTGCCTGAGACAGAATCTAGAAACAGGACTTGGAATCCTTGGATACACCATCAGGTTATCTTTAGTGGTCATGGCTGTAGTTTATAAAGCTTATCATTTCAAAATCTAGTGCTCCCATAATTTATTTTGATTAGTGTTATTACTTTCCATTACCATATGGGTTTTAGGCTAATTGCTCTTTGCATGGGCATGCTGGGACATTAACAAGTAACACAACCAAGTCTGTCAGGAGACAGAAAGGGCTCTCTGAGGGGAGCCACGCTGAGCTGGTGCCCCTGAGCAGCTCTTGGCAGTGATGCTGAGGCAGGGAGCCTGCACCAGGGCACCCCTTCCCACTGCCAATCCCACAGCAGCCAGCTCTGCAAAGCAAGGAAAAACAGAACTGAATAAAGTAAAACAAAGCAAAAAAAACCCGAAACAAAACAAAACCAAACACGGGGCTGAGCCAGAAAATAGCTAAGGGAGGCAGTGACCCGTGCTCCCACACGTAATCCAGGGGAGGTGTCTCCAGTGCAGTCTGTCAGTTCACTCCCAGACTGAGACCCAAGCAGCTGAGTGTCCACTG